AAATTTCCTTATTAAGAAGATTATCTAACGTTACGTAAGGCAAAGTAATTTAAACTTGGGTTAGAATTATGTATTTTGAGGTTAAGATCAGCATTGTAGGTTCGTTTTTGAAACACGATACCTTTTTGCCATGTTCAATATGCCTAAGAATATCTAAGCATGTTATAAAGCTAAAAAAATCCATAATTACAATATGTATAAAATTAGATGTTAAACATTTTACTTAATGAATCAAATTATTTAAGTTGTTATACGTAATAAAAGTCTGAGATACAGTATTGTTATTTTTTTTTTGGTCTTAACATGTCCAGACTCTTGTTCAAATGTGTATTGACAACACTAGTTAATATTTGTGCAAGCATTATGGTAAAATTGTTCTTTATTAGTGCTTCAAAGTAAGTTATAACCCTTTTTTGTATATTTCATTTTTTTTCTTGCGTAGTCATGATTTTTCGCCATGTTTGTGTAACATGTCGATCTTCTAAACGGTGGATTGTTTTTGATATCAAACGTTCCAAACTAACAGGAAGAAACGTTGATGTTACACGACTAATCCTTTACCAGGTGTGCAACATATAAAAAAATGTATTTCACTCACTCCGATATATAATATCACGTGTAGTACAGCCATTTTATTAGCAGCAATTACCAATTTTTTAGAGAATTAATATGTTACACAGTAATAGACTATCACATGACCTTCTTTTCTCTTTTTTTTTTTTATATATATATAGTTATCACCTGGTTAGCACTTCCTTTAGGCCGTTTTATTTTTGGCAGCAATTCGAACTAAATACAGTACCTTTAGTTTTATTTGCTACACATTAATAAAACTCTTTTCATTATGGCATTTGAAGAGAACTCAGGCCCTGCCGAACCATGTCTATTCAATGAAGAGTCACATCACTTTGACAATGAACCTACACATTCTGATGATTCAGACTATGAGAATTTGGATAATAATGCCTGGTTTCCAACAGAAGAAATATGTTACCTTTCTATTAAAATACACTAAAGTTCACAAAAACTGAGATTCTTAAAAACCAACCTCGTAATTCAGAAATTAAATATGAAGCTCCAAGTATAGATAAATGAATTTAGAAACTTATGCCCTCACAAGCTAAGGAAACAAATAAACTACTCGCTAAAGTTGTATATCGGTTTTTCACAATACTTTGACCACTCGATAATTCACTTAGGGCAATTTACAACACGAAGCTTGATAGAAATGATGAAGCACTTAAGGCTTGGAAATATATTGGAACAGCACTTAAAGACTCAAGAACCTTTCTGCTGGATTCCTTATCTTACACAAACGAGCTGCGGAAACAACAATCACTTAAAGCTATCTTTTCCAATTACGTCCTTCCTTCAAACAGAGAGAAAGTATTTGGTGACGAGCTTAGCTTAATTATTGAAAAAAAAATACTACCAATAAACTCTTTGATAAGGCAGCAGATAGTTGCAGGAAATAACATAAGCAAAAAAGTAACTTTAGACCAACATATGGTAAAAGTAATCCCTGTTTTAGCCAAGCGCAAAGGGGCAATTATTGGTCATATAACCAAATACAAAATCA